CGATCACATTACGCAGTCGCGCTTTCCCGTCGCAGTGAAAAGTTAGCTGGAAAAGTCACCACGGCTTCTGAATTGCAGACAGAACGTTGACTTGTGGAGTCAGAAAGGGACAGGCCTGCTGCAGCAAATTGCACGTGCTTGATTTTGCGCGCCTGGCTACTTCCGTTTCCAATGCTTTGTGGCAGGTTTCCGCTCAACCCGAAACATGTTCCGTGAAAAGCTTTGTACATTCACTTGCGGCGTGAAGTTGTGGTTGAAGAGAAATGGACGGCCACATATGTGCGTATTGTGAGGCTGTATGTAGCATGCTGACGTGTTGGCATTTGCCATGATCATGCGGCACTTGACAGAGCTTTGTCAATGAATAGGCTTTGCATTGATATCACCGATGTCCCATGTATACTCATGGGAAACGATTTCTGCCAAAGTCGTGCCAAGATGGGATGAAGCGGCATATTTTGCATGTCGAAAGATCCAAGCCTTGCCTGTGTTCTCTGTGGCAACCTTCACATGTCCGTCTGCTTGCACACATTCAAGACAAGATGCAATAGCTCGGACATGCCCTGTTTTTCGATCGTAGAAACACAAAGCACCAGATCGCAGATGCTCGTAGCGTCGTAGAACGAGGTAGCAGACATCAGTCTAGTGACCACATGTGTTAGTGCGTCTGTTGGTGTGTGTAGATGATCTCTCAACATGGTGATGGCTCCTGTATTTGGTCATCCGCAGGCCTTGTCAAATGGTCCACGAGTGCTCAGCCGATGGCATCCAATCAATTGGTCTATATGTTCCTGACTAGCTTCACCAGTGCATCACATATTCGTTGCAGTGCTTCTCGCCCTCCAGTGTTGCAGCGGGGCTGCTGGAAGCAGACCCGTTGCGCAAATTCCTAAATTTCGCGGCTGGAAGGACCTGCTGCGCCAAGTCCACGAACATGTTGATGCCGAGGTCGGCAATCTATGCTGCAGGATTGGCAAAGTGGGATGTCTGGCTGCTGACCAGGAACTTGGTGTGCACAACCGGGCCAATCACAGAAGAGGAGCCATTCAGGGTTGAGGAGGGTGCAACAAACGAGCATTGTTTGAGTTGCACAAATCTTCTGCAGGAGGTGCTTTCGCTTTTGGAGCTCGAAGCAGAGCCAACCAATTCTGATGCTGCAGGCGCAGGCTTTTGGCATGCGCACCGTGGAGTCGGTCGGTCTTGTGAAAGCGTGCGCCAAGGATGGATTCCCATTGGATCGCCCGAGCTCAGTGTGGAGTACTGGCGCGACATGCCAGGCCTGCGGGCATTGTCTTTGATGCCAGGGGAGGGAACGAATCAGGCTTCAATTTAATACCGGACGTCAGAGTCGCGGAGACGTTCTGCACTTTTGCATCCACTAGGACTGGTGGACTCAGGTGCCGAACCGTCCGGCATGTTCTTCCTGAGACATTTTCTGGTTCTTCCTGGCACCTTCGACTGCATTTCCAAACATTCACTTCATTCTCTGCTTTGCATCGTTCAAAGGCAGATGCATAGAAGCATGCGCGATCCAGTAGGAGGATGTCGGAGCCCCTTTACAGGTATTTCACCAGCGATCGCCAGCAAGTTCTTGCACGACGAGTCTTCAAGGACTTTGCATGCTTCGCAGAGCTTGCATTGAGGAAAGCTGTACGAGAGCGCGCCAGGAAGAAGTGGGACCCCTTAATGGAGACGCTGGAAGATCCGGCGGACGAGAGGGTGCGCTTTAGTTGGTAGGTAGGACCTACAGGAAGCCCGGAGGTTTTCAGCCAGTTTCTTCGTATGAACAGGTCTGTGGCCAGTGTAACGACATTGTCTACTTCCGGACAGACGCGCAGTGACTTTGCTTGAGATGGGCTCATTAGCCCAAAGTGAAACTCAACTATTTTTGCAAACAGATCGGTGATCAGGTTTGGAGCACTGCCTTCTTGCTGCATGTTGCATCGCCGACGGAAAATGAGCCCTTGTGGCACCGCTCACTCAGCATGGATATCGCGAGATGCCTGATGCCCAGAACATTGTGAAGTTCAACAGTCCGTGCCTACACTCGTCTGGTGGAGCAGGCACCTGCGACAGAGGAGTACGGCTGCAGGACGGAAGGCGTTCGCCAATGGGCAGAGAGGCCCGCCCACGTGGTGTTTTCTCCTGTTGCTCAAAGTCAGCCGTTGAGCCGTTTTCAACATTTCTGCAGACACTTGTATCCTGATGCGCAACATGGGAGGTTGCAACACTTCCGCCTACGGAGAGCCGTAGTGGGGCATGTCGTTCGAAGTCACGAGGTTGGATCAGTGGAAGCTGCAAAGCAGCCGTAGCATTGCGCATGGGAGGATGGATGCCGTATCTTCACCTATGTTCAGATGGAGGCTTCATGCTGTCGTGCTTGTCTTATTGGACAATGTATAGAAAAAAACACACTTCTGTGTTCGTGGAAGGCAACCTTTATGCTGATGTCACTGGGGCCACAAATAGCTCCAAAGCTTTTTCGAGGCCATCCGCTTAGCCGATCGGGACTCTCTCCCCTGCGGTGCCAAGTCTGTTCATAAAGCCCAGTTCTCCATGCATGATTTCCACTCGTGCTGGACTCTCAAAAAAACTTGGCGTTCAATTACCGCGCTTCTCAAGATCTGACATGTCTGACCTTCTCGTAGGGTTTTCTCGAGATTTCGTTGCGAAGGATGCGGGATTCTGCATTTTTTGGGTTAGTTTCGCAAGGAAAACAGCAAGACGCGGAGGAAAGATTGAAGGACGGAATGCTACACAAGAGGAATGAACCAAGGACGGATGAACAGGGGGCATAAGGAAGGTGGTCAGCGAAAAAGGAAGGAAAGGAAGGACATGTTAAAAAAGGGTATCAAGCAAGGAAGGAAGGAACGGCGGGAGGACAGACTGAAGTAGGAAGGGTCGACATCGAAAGAATGAGATAACTAGAGCCTGGATCAGATTGCAATTGCAGCCACCACAGCAGCTACTATTACGGGTGCCTTAGGACATGGGATGTTTGGGTTTATAGTGTAGTATAGACTTTTTTTTATTTATTTTGAGGTCTACGATATTTACTTTTGTTCCGTCCAGTGTGCAAAGTTTCCGGTTCGCGGGTGCGGCTCGTACGCGTGCGAATTTCGGGTGCATGACTTTCGCGGCCTCCACCCGTGAGAGTGCACCGCGTCAGTCGCAAATTCCCCGTTCGTGCACCGCTTTTCTGGTCAGCTAACCGCGTCTTCGGCGCACGACCCCACTTTTGCCAATCTGTACCCCGTGAGCAACTATCTCTGTGAAGATCCTTGTGCGTGTGCCTTTGAGAAAGGAATGTGCGGCGACTTCTCCCAAGCCTGCCGTGCAGAATTGCAAAAGGCATCCCTGCTTCCGGAAGATTTCCAGGCGTGTGTGTGTCACACCATCATACGAGCTTTGACCAGGAGCCGCCGGACATTGATGGTGAAGTCGCGGACAACGCGGGTGCGGCCGAGCGTTCTTCTTAAGACTGCTCTCTAAATGTTTGTTGCAAGGTCGATCGGACACTGTCCATTTTCCTCAATTCTTTGACCGACTGGCCTGTTTGTTTCGGTTATGGACATTATCCTGCGGGCGTTGAAACCCAGATGGACCAGGACATGTCAGCGGGTGACGAGACAGGCCCCCATCGTTTCTCTGTCTTCGCGATCTGCGCTTGCGACTCTTTGAGTTCTTTCGGAAGGCTCCACGGCATCCGAAGCCGGAGGCTCCGAGGCCGAGACGCCGAGCCGGGGAGATCCAAAGAGTTCCTGAGCAAAAGCCTCGGCAAAGGCCTCGTCCCACTCGGCTGGCTTGGACTTCTTGGGCATTGTGGAGAACAAGAAGCTTGTGCATGCCTCAGGGAGATTCAGAAGCTGCCCACGAAAAAGATGTCAAAAACCAATATCTCCCGGAAACACTATTTATGCAAATTCCATCGAGGTCCCAGCTGTCTCGGCATTTAGACGCCTTCTCAGGAAGCCGGATCCTGAGGCCGGTAGCTGGGCAGTTCAGGCACTCGGTGGCGAGGGCCTAGCTGTTGCTCTGCTTCTCGGTGCACAGAGGACGGTGTCCAGGAAGTTCAGTTGTCCCAAAGCCTGGAATCAGACAGCCTGAACCGGCCTAATTAGGTGGGGAACTTTTGTGCATTGACTTGCAGCAGGGAGCCTGAACCGGCCTAATTAGGTGGGGAACTTTTGTGCATTGACTTGCAGCAGGGAATGTGTGGACATGGCACTGAGATCCCGCAGTTCAGGACTGGAGTGCTGTTCACTCAGGTCAGAAAAGGGCGCGACGAGGAGGGCTAAGGCAGTGGCTTTTGTGGCTCGACGGGGCTGCTTTTGCGGCGTCGCTTCAGGCTGAGCCGCACGAAAGTCACAAAGGCCCGGAGCTGCCAAGACCGGAACCATCCGCACTCTGCCGCCTGAAGGAGAGCCGCATGCCGGAGGGCGGAGCGTGGAACCGGAAGGCGGCAGGCCGGGCCGGGGCCGGTCTCAGGGTAGGGGTGATCTTTGGAGCGGTGGTTGCAAGGCGACGGCGCTCCAGTATGCTCCGAGTCGGAAGCTCAATTTTTCCGAGCTGCTCGGGTTCCGCCATCTGGTCCCCGGTAAGGAAAAGAATCGGGAACGCCAGAGAGGCTCCATGGAAGCTGTGGCAGAACGCCTCGGAGAAGCCGTTCGACTAAGGAGTTTCCGGAAGAAGGTGGGTTGACTCGCTCTGAGCCCCGGGCTTGTCAGGAGCCAGCACGTCCGGGACTCGGTGCTGGAGGCACGGGGCATCGGCAAACATTCTTTGTGGAGAACGTGCAAACAGCCAGGATCAAGCAGTTAGGTGACGAAGTTGCGTTGGTTTCTCGCTGGTCAGTTGTGCAGTCCAGCGATGCCACGGGAGCATGTTGGGGCGCAGCAGCTACGCTTATGCAGGTCGTCCTGGAAGAGGAGGACGATGGAAAGGTGGCTTGTAGCTCTCTGTTCCTGCCCGAAGCCCAGCATGCGAACGACTGTCAGGCCAAGCTCGTCTCGAGTGAGGCCGAGAAGCAGGCCAGAGAATGCTTCGATGCTGTTGCATCCATGCCTGATGTTTGTTGGCATCCATGTTTCTAAGCGGTGTTTTGGACTTTACTGACGGTGTCAGTGTTGATGCAGCAGGGGCTCTTTCTCGTTTCAGGCTACTCGTGGACTGCACCCCTGCATCCCTCCTCGGTCTCCAGACCGACGCGTCCCCTTCCCGCCCTGGCTCCCCCCCCGCACGCACCAACCATTCCTAGCCTGCACAAAACAGAAGGAACTCAAGGTTAAGCCAGATGACAGCAGCAGACAGAAAGATAGAAACAGTTCAGGGGCCATCAGATCAGGGCTGGCTGCGGCACAGGGGGCCTGAATCGAATGAGACACAGAATCAGACAGGTGGTAATTGTCGAGGGTTCGCGCTTCAGGGTTTAGAGCAGAGGCTTTTAAGGCTGTGCGTTCACGGTTTAAGGTTTATAGGGCTTGGGCTTAAGTAAGCGGTTTAGGGCTTAAGTTTCATTGAGGGTTTAGGGTTTCGGGTCTAGAATTTAGGGGGGTTTGGAGTATGGGGTTAGGAATCAGGTTTTTGGCTTTGGCGGCTTTGGGGTTTAGGATTTAGTAGATTTTTTTCGGGTTTCGCATCAAAAGATTCAGTTGTTTTTTGAGCGGGGGATTAGCAGCTAGCATTTAGGGTTTATGGCGGGTTGGCAAAAGGCTTCCGGGTTTGGGGTGTAGAGGGTTGGGCTTGAGACTAGGTCTTCACTTTAGGCCCCGGCCTTGGGGTTCAGGGTTAAGGGTTTAGGGTCTTTAGGGCCAGGCTTCAGCGTTTAGGTTCACAGGTTTTCGGTTCTGGTTGTGACGTAGAGGGATCCTTCAGGGTTTCAGGTTAAGGGTCTGGGGGTGTGGAGTGCAAGAGGCTTTCTCGAACTTTAGGGTTTCGCTCGCGGGGTTGGGATTCAGGGTTCAGATGTTTGGTTGTTATATGGGCTAGGGCTCCGGCTTTCAAGGTCAGGGTTTTAGGGGCGGTTGGAGTTCATGAGGTTCGAGTCGCGGGTTTGGGCTCTCAGCGGGACTCAGGGCTTGAGGTTTTTTGGGTTCATGACCTTCAACACAAGAACCCTAAACCTTAAACACAAGAACCCTCAACCTTGAGGCTTAGAGTTTAAGTTGAAGGCCGAGCCTAGGCGTGTTGAGCCTTGCCTGGGTGGTTTCCGGGTCTTGGGTTGAGGTTCGAATCGAAATTCACGGGCTTTTGGGTTTTTGGAGTTCCTGCTCTGGGAGTGGGATTCAGGCTGAGGGTTTTCTAGGGTTTAGGGTTGGGGTGGGGGTTAGCGTTTGGGGTTTAAATGGCGGTTCAAGATTTGATTTCAGGCTTCAGGAGTTTTGCGGTTAGGGTGTTGGGCTTTGGGGTGTTTTGAAAACTTTTGGCCTTGATTGGGGGTTTAGGGTTTCGGGGTTAGGGTTGAGTGTTGAGAGTTTCGGGCTATTTGGCGAGGGTTCAGCGATTAGGTCAAGAGTTGCAGGTTGTAAGGTTTATGGGTCAGGATTTAAGGCTTAGGGCTTTAGGAGTTGGAGTTTCGAGTCCATGGCTCGGGGCTTTTCCTATTCTGGGTTCCAATCCCTGGCTGGGGGTTCTAGGGTTTATAACGAGTTTTGTTGGGGGGGGGGGTGGGGGTGAGTTTAGGACGTACTGTGTTATAGGTGGCCAGACAGTGGTTGAACATGTCAGGCTTCAGGGTTTGGAGTGTAGAAGGTTGGGCTTGGGCTTTGGGTTAACGGCTTATGCTTCAGGCTTCCGAGAGGGTATTCTGCGTTCACATTCAAAGGTTTAGTAACTTAGTTGTAAGGTTTATAGTTCCGGGTTTCAGGTTGTTTAGGGTTTAGGGCCTTAGGGATTTTGCAGCTGAGACCTGCTGTTGGGATTCACGGTTTAGGGTTTAGTTTTTTTACGATGTTTTTTTGTTGTTTTTGGAGTAAGGGGGTTAACGTTTAGGGTTTAGCCCGAAAATTTCAGGCTTCAGGGTTTTGGATTTCGAGGATTCGGCTTAGATTGGTTTTGGACTTTTTGCTGTAGGGTTTAGGGTTTCGGGTGAAGCGTTAGTTCAGAGTCGAGGGGGGTAGCGTGGTTAGGGAGGAGCTCCAGCGTTGAGGTTCAACAACGTTCAGGAAATAGTGTTTGTGGTTCAGGGCTTTAGGGGTTTGGAGTTCAAAAGGTTCGAGTCCAGGGCTCGGGTTCGGGTGTAGCGATCCCCAAGACAGTTTTCTTTTGAATACCTTGACCTCTGAGATCCCCTTTTCAATGGACACAGTGGCCCCAGTGGCCCGTCGGCCCCCAATCCGATTCCCGTTTCCTGCGATCCGGCCCTGCGATCCGCTTCGCACCTGGTGCGATCTTAGTGATGCGATCCGATTCCTGCTACGCCCAAGTCAAGTATAATTAATGCCGACATTCGGGCAGCTCCTGCAGTGCAGACAACCTTGCACGCACAGCTGCGAAGCACAGCTCTGAGGTGCACCTAATATTTAACTCAAAATTTCAGAGACGTATTACTAATTAGTATATTCACAATTATTCACAGTTTGTCATATAGGAGATTTCGCTCGAAGATTCCAGGCGTTGAGGCGTCCAGTGAAGCCTGTGGAAGCCTGTGGAACAAAGAATGACCCACTGCGCAAAGCTCTGCTGGCCCAGGCGTCGGCAAGTGCCAGCAAGCCTTCGGCAAACGTTGCCTCCTTCGGCTCCGAGGACCCGAACACGCAGAGTGCACAGGGCCAAGAAACGGTGCGAATGCGTGGATGCAGTTTTGAAATTTTCCATGCACCCAGGTTTCCGTGCAGCCACGAAAGCGGTTTTCACTGCCTGTACCTGCACGCAGCAGAAGGCCTGCCATGCTGCGTCTGAACCATGCGAGCTCACGTGCAGCTCGGCTCGGTCAAGAGATCTTCGGCCCGCAGTGTACACTCGGTCGGCACCACGGACTCGGAGGCGCTCAGCGTCACCGTAGGGTTAGCTTTTCGTTTTTGGGCACATCGCAGCGTTCAGGACAGCATGTCTTCGGCTTCAGCCGCTGGTGGAGTCCATGAAGAGGATACCAACCGTCGCCGGGAGCTGAAGTGGCATTCACGAGGTCTTCTCGTGTCGTTCCAATGTTAAGCTCTCCGAGGTCGCTGGGCTTTCGTGGCTGCCTCAGCTGTGTCAGTGTTTGACCTTGCCGGCCTGACGGGCTTCAGATCACAGGCCCTGGACTCATTCTTCGACAGGGCACGTGTGGTTCGTCCCGAAGGCAGGATCACGCCACCTCAGCGGATTTTCGCGGGGTTGTAAGTACACAGAGTTGAAGCGTTTGCTTGCCGAGGTTCCTCAGCGGTTTCCACAACCACAGCGTCCTCTCGTGCCTCTAGCCCTTGCATGGGTACGCCATCCGCTTCCTCGCCTGCAGGCCAGGTCAGTGCCAGTTTGTTGATGGCATGGCCTGGGACACGCATGCCTTGCCAGGAATCAGGGCAACCTGGGTGCTAGCTCCTGGCTGTTGTAGGTTCAGCACGTCCTTGCGCATCCTCTTGAGAGTGGAACAGGTCTTCATGATCCTCCTTTGAGGACTTCGTGCTTCAGCATAGGATCAGGAATCAGAAGCCGAAAGCAAAAACTTACAGAATAGCAGGGAAGTTTTGCGAACTCGTCGGGAACCGGTGGGCTTGATGTCACAGGTGCGGGTGCAGGTCCGGACACTGACTGCACCAAGGCCCTGATCGTGCAGGGTTGTTTTGCATGAGCTTGCAGACTGATGTGAACGTTTTGTGATACACTCGGAAGCTTCCCGAAGCGAAGTGTGTTCCTCAACCTTAGCCTCTGCAGTTCAGTTCACCCAGATGTCCCAGTAGTCTCCATGCAAAACCAACTCCTACCTATCGGGTTGACTGCCACTGTGGGCAGCAGCCTATGTTTGGATGGTTTAGCAACTCGTAGTTACAGCTTCTACAACGTTAAGAGTCTAGTTTTGATAGACTTCTGGTCGTGACTGCTGACAGTTTCATGCCCAGGATCTGTCACAGCCGGTACGCTTACTCTAGGTGTAGCAGCTGACGTCTTTGAATGTTCTTTTATGCTGCCATATTCTGTAGCTGCAGTGTTGACATCGTATAACTTTGCTGTTCTCGAATCCGTGTACGATCATAGTATGCTGGCGCCTTGCCAAACGACTCCCAGGTGGCAAAGCCTACCTTGGCAGGTGCAGCATGGGCCGTGCCCCCGTACATGGATTCAAGGTTTTGGTTTCGGGTGCACCTGTGTTACCACATTAGCCCAGCTGGTTCTGACTTCCTTGATATGCACTAGAGCTGGCTGCTTCATGTTTGGCCCTTGAGCGATGTGAGGTCTTGACCCAACTCTGCAAGGAAACCACACAAGAGCCGGACCCCGATCAGCCTAGCGGCCCTAGCGCAGCTTCTTTTGCGGCCGTCGGACGAGAGTTCCCATGTTGTGCGAGGACCTCTCGGCCCTCTTACCACTTCCGACAACGGCAACGGAAGAGCCCTCGACGCGCGAGAAAGCCACCGACCAGGCGAGGCGGAAAGGGGCGACGGCTTCTCTGAATGCAAGGGGCGAGGCGGCTTCCGTGGCCACAACAACCGCAGCAACCAACGGACAGGTGGCCACGAGAACGCTCAGAGGATCGTTAATGTCTGCAGAGGTCGGATACTTACAGGTGCTTTCTTTACATGGTGGATGTGGCTGTGGTGTACCGTTGCCCCGAGTCTTTGGCTTCAAGTCTCTGTGACCCAGATCCTCGCCTAGGCCTTCAAGTTCTGCTTCCCTCAGGACTGCTTTCCTCCGGGTGCAGAGCACCTCGTCACTTCCATAGGCAGAGTCTTCGTCACTACGTGTGGGCATTTCAGGACATTTGTGGAGTCCCGCTGGACTCAAAAGCGGCTCCCAAGGAGTTGTACCAGCCTTCGCAAGCGTCGATGCATCAGATGTGAGCCAGTATCCAGGATCCTGGCTGGAAGCGATCTTCCAATCGAAATCGCCGAAGGGCCACGGCTGTTTGAGGCATCTGCAGCTTCTCTTCGGACTCTTGGTACTATCTTTAAATCCTTGCAGAAGGCCTGTCGATGGAAAGCTTCAGAGGGTGATGCCTTACGAGAGAGCAATGCAGGGAAGACATTCACACCAACAAGGAGCTTCCCTCTGTCTGTTCTGTACTGTACCATCAGATCAGAAGGTTGCAACAGCCCAAAGTTGTTAATTGTGTCATCGGTTGATGTGTTGCAACCTTCTTTCTTTACGGCTTCAGGTAATGCACAGTGCACCTCGCAGCGCCGCAAGTGCTTTCGTCGTTCGATTTCTCTACCGATGTTTGTCTTCAACCATTACAGGTGTTCGCTCGTCAGAAGCAATGCGGTAACGGAACGGATGGCAGAACAGATTGGAGCAGCTTAGCGCCGAGCAGCACAACTCACCCCATAATCATGAGCAGCAGACCTTAATAACCTGCAAAGGTTTTTAATCTTGGATCCACTCTGTTCTGTCATTCGGGGCCGCTGGTGTGATTCGGCATGGAAGGAACCTGTGCCGTTTCGCTTGGGCCGAGCCGCTAAGGCCCCGTTGCTCACCAGAAGCACCTTCGAAGGCGAAGTAGTTAGATAAGATATGATAAGATGATAAGACCAAGTAGGAAGGAGTGGCAGAGGCTTCGATGAGAATGGGGCTGGGCAAGGTCCTGGGACATGGCAAGTCCACGTCCATAGATAATCCACTCGAAATCGGCAGACCCGAATCGACCCGGATCTCCTGGGCTTCGCAGGTCTGCATGTTCCTCCTGTTAACTTCCTGTGCTGTCTCACCTTGAGCCAGTGATTTTCTTCACCTCTGTGGTCGCATGTTCGGGATGAAAACGAGCTCCTCAAGGCACCATGCTGTGGACACCGAAGGGTTGGCCGCTACAGTCTGGTCCGGCAGTCGCGCTGCACCTGCATTTGTTACAGACGCAGACGGCTGGCTCCCAGCAGTGTGAGCCTCACGCCAGCCCGTGGGGACATGGAGAGGTACTACCTGCGAGAGCTCAGAGCAACATGAGCCTGTCCGCCCGATGTTTGGCAGGTGGGAGGAGTCCGGAAGTCCTGGGATGCTTTCTCAGGGGAACAGAGGATTTTTGCGGTTGCAAAGTGTTGGACCCGACATATGCGGAAAGCAAGGTCGAGTCTGAGTCCTCCGATTCTACCAGCGGTCGCTCGCAGGAGCCACGCACTGTTGTGCACCAGTAGTTTCATTCGATCTGATGATCTGCCGTTGTGTAGTTTTTGATGCAGGCGAACAGCAGCTGCTTTTCTTCTTCTTGACTCGCCCGGAGAAGATGAGCAGGCCTTGGGAGGAATTACACCAAGAAGTTCGTCAACATCTCGAAATGCCGGAGCTCTGACACCGGGCAGGCTTTACTGACTCTTTGTAATCAAGGCGCAGAACCGCCAGCAGAGCATCACTGAGTTGCGTGGGAGCAAAACCAGGACACGATGATGCCCAGACAGTTCCCGGCCACAAGCACCGGCTAGCTTCAAGTTTCAGCGGTCAGAGTCCAAGAGTCAGCTTTGCATTCGCTTTGCCTGTCATCAAGCAGCATCTCGAAGAAGCCGTTAAGCCATCGCAATTTTTAGATGGCAAGGTCACGGAAGCCACTCTGACGAAGCGAAGGCAGGACTCTGATCGTGTGCATGAAATGGCATGCAAATCTCAGGACAGAGCAAGAGTAATGAGTGTGCGTGTCTACCGCGCGCGTGACAGCTTCCGATGGATGTTAAGCAGTACAGGGCATCCGTTCTGCACGCTTCGATTGCTTTGTTCGTATAGCTATGTCTGTCGAGCACTTGTCTTTAGGCTGTCGCCGGAGATCTGGGCCAGTTCCTTCATGACCCATCAAAGATCGCAGATGCTTCTGCCGCAGTCTTACAGTGGCGGGTTGGTGGTGTTGAAGTCTTGTTGATGCTCCAGTGGTACCGCTATCGTCCAATGTTCGAGGCATGGGCCAAGCTGATGACCGACGCCACCTGGCAAGCATGTCACCATCGCCTTTGTGCATGTAGCTGTGAGGCGTAAGTTGTTCGCACGAGGCAGCTGGAGGAATATGCATGCCGGTGCAAATTTAGACTTGGTGTGAGCTGCAAGATCTCAACCCGGAGGGTGCTGGGTGCTTTGCAAGGGCTCAAGATGTAAGGTAGCCGTGGTGGCAAACTTCGGCGTAGCGGCCCGAATCTGTTGCTTCGTTGACCGGCTCTTGCTTTAAAGTACATAGTGATCTTCTGTGCTCCAAAGCGACCGAGGCATTGATTCTGACGTTTCTAGGGGCCGCCTACCATGCGTACGGCTATGTCCAACTCCGCAATGCCCAGAAACAGGCGGTCCACGAAGTGGCCAACAGCAGTGCGAAAGACCAGTGCTCTGCGGACAGGCATCTCGCTCGCAAGGAGGAGGCGGAGGACATCATTGAGTCCGAGGACGGCCTGCCCGGACTTGCAGCGGCGTTGAGCATGATATGAGATATGTTTGACACGTTCTGCGGCAGCCCCGAGAGGCTCTCGTGCCGACCGTCAAAAAGTAAGACGGGAAAGTGAGCTCTCTGACATGATTGCAACGAAGAACTGGATCGTACTGTGCGGCGAAAATTGTCCGGTCGGCAGCGATCTAACTGCAACCGCTACTGTCGGTTGCGAAGCCTCTCTGAAAGAAACCTCACTTATGACTATGGCAGAATGCTATTAACATGTGTTCTGTCCGTCGATTGTTCCACGGCTGCCAACAAGTGCCAGGGATGTTCGAACTGTTTACCCGTGGGACCATTCTTTCAACAAGTTCGCGCGGTACATGAAGTCCTCAGATTCCGACCCCGAGGAGCAACACGTAACTTGTGCATCCTTGGTCTTTGGGCTGCAAAGTAAGTCGCGTCAAAAGATGTCAACAATGGCAAGAGGATCCTGGGGCAGCCCGTTTGCTGTCTGCTGCTCTCTCGATAGTACGTCAAAGTGGGCGGTCGGGATCGCAACGATTATCCTGCTCTGATGCTGTGAATCACACCAGGAAATTTCATTCACAGAGAACCCCGTCGGACTTCGTCCGTACCTAACCGCCACGTTCCTGATTCAGGAAACGATCCAGTTTCAGGTGTACTTCAGCTTGCGCCCTCCTTGATCCCATGTTTGGCAGAGACACGGCTGTGGTGTCAGGCAGGTGGGCAGAAGGCTACTCGTACCCTGGCCGCGGCCGCTCGAAGCTCCTGTTGAGGTTCCTTCTTGAAGTCATGGGCCGAAGATACGCCTGAGCCAGACACATTCTGGGGGCCGACACTTGCCGACAGTTCAGAAGCGGCCTTCCATCTAAAGCTATGGTTCACAACAAGTCAGGCCTGTCCTTTCTGTCCCAATTATGTGCTGCTCCGTCACAAAAGACGAATTACCCTGCTCATCTGCAGTCCAGGGAGAGCACAGAAGATAACACAGATAAGAAGCCAGTACTGTACGTCATGCCTCTGAAAAATGGCGGCGCCCTTGCCGGATCCGCATGACACTGACTTGTCGGCGCAGGGAGCTCAGGAATCAACTTGTGTTTGCGGTGGTAGGACGCAAATTGGGGTGTCAGGTGTAGCCTGCAAGGGTAAGGTCGGTAAGGTAGATCTGTTTTTGACCCGGGGTCCACATCGCTTTGGCGACCAGATTGAGCTGCAAGGTTCCACGGCTACGTTGACTTCAAAGACTTGGCTGCTCATGGCGAGTTCACCAAGGCAGTTGAACGGCAGAACTGTTCATGCTTCGGGCCTTTTGCCGTTCTCATTGATGCCGCCGCTGGTGGTGCTGCTGCTGCCGCTGCTGCTGCCGCTGCTGCTGCCGCTGCTGTGCTGGTTGTGATGCTTGTGGTGTCGTCTCCCTCCTCGTCATTGTTGTCGTCGATGTTGTCATATTTGGTTGCACTAGAAAGGCTGCGAGTTGTGCACACCGCTGCTTTTGACTTCTGTTGCTGGCAGTGTTGATGCTTCTCATGTTTATCGTCGTCAGCATAGCGTGTTGGTCGCGCTGCTCTTATCATTGTCGTTGTCTTGGTTCGCATAGCTAGTCTTGCTTCTTCTTTCGGGCTGCGTCGAAGCAATTTGCCCCTGGGCCCCAGATGCTTTCATCCCAGGCAGGCATCACGATTCCATCGGCAACATGCGGCATCTGAGAAGTATCTTCGAAGAGGTCAAGTACGGAGCAAGCTGTTACTAATGATGATGATGATGATGCTGATGATGATGATGATGATGATACTGTCATCCTTCGTTCGTTTGGATACTGCGCGATGTTTTGTGGAAATTCCGGCAGCAGGTCCGGCCCATCACTGATGCGATCCATGGCAAAGTTATCCAGTACCGCTGGAGGGCCCCTCACCAGGAGAAGCTTTGTGAAGCCAAGAGCCAAGGGCAAACTCCGAAGAGCAAGGCACCTGGTGTTTGGAGGACACGGGTCTAGATGTCGTCGGGAAGAAGATGGAAAGTGCCGCACTCGGAGCGACATAGCTTGGAATCCGGCAGCAGATGACCTGTTGTGTGTGTCTGAATCTGCTCTTTTGAGGTGCCAGGGCCGGCATCCCATGTTTCCTCCTTCTCAGCTCCCCGAAATCGGGCTGTCTCAGGTTACCCAGAACCGAGGTCGTTTCACAAACGTGCGGACCTCGCTGCAACAGACGCTTTCCACACGCTTTAGAGCACGCCTGACCAAGGAAAGACATGCCCACAGGAACCCGAAGCATCCGGATAACCCTCATCCGGAGGACACCGCGATCCGCAAGGAAATAGGCAGAGACGCAGCTCGGGACCCCGTCTTATCAGGATGCACTCACCGAAATTGGGGTGCTCTCCTACTTGAGGCCGGCCTGGGAGTCTGGGCACGGAGCTCACAGCACGACACTTACGCTTCGTTGCAGGCTTCAGTCGAATGTGCCCGTCTATTTGCCCGGGACCCAGAGCCTTGCACGCTACGCATGGCGAATGAGTTGCCAGCGGGTAGTTAAGCTGTGCCTGGCATGGGAGGCTTAGAATGCTGGGAGCTTTCTGCGATGGTCGCACCGACCCTTTTGTTGCTCCCCTTTGCCTGCTTTGTGATTGCGGTTGAAGATATGACTCGAATGTGGCTCTGTCTATGTAGTGAAACTTCTTGCCCGCCAGATACGCATACGCTTCTGGTGACAGAGTGGGTCTCAGATGGCGAGCTCTTCAACCACGCACGGAGCTCGGCAGAAGTACATTTCAGAGCAATTGCAAAGATCGGCAGGATCTGCAACCTCTGTCGAGAGAATGAAAGCTGCTTAGGTGGCGAGCGGTCGTCTGGGCACGGATGAAGGAGTGGTGAGAGGTCTCATGTTGCTGCCTTGTCCTACAATTCAATGTCGGCTTGGGGCCAAGCTCCGAAAAAGCCCAGGTGGCAGCTCTTTCACGGGACCAACTTCCTCCATGCACATGACATTGGCCTTGAGCTTGGAGGGCACTTGTCGCAGTGCATCTCGCCGAGACCTTCCGTGATGCCAGTGATGCCAGGCCACAGGGACATCTCACTGGAGAATGTCCTCGTCTCTTTTGACAGGACAAAGAGGTCGGAATTCACTGGCGACACATCGTTCGTTCGTTCGTTCGTTCGTTCGTTCGGACAGTAGAGCCTATCTGTGGGGCGCGTCCCAAAATTAGCAACTCAACTAACCTGGTGAAACGGGAAGTGGCGTCCCTGTCCTATCTCTTCCGGCCCTTTCAGCCAGAGCTCAGTTCCGCATGTACGTGTGTCAGTATTGTGGGTGCAGGGACCAGTACCACCTTCGACTGATGGATTTCGGACAAGCTGTTCCGAGCTCAATGCCGTCGTGCAGTCAGAATGTCTGTCTGGTCATGGCGTGAGCTTGGTCGCTGAGGTGAGAACCCGCTCAGCCTGCAGGAGTGTCTTCCTGAGGCCTGTCGAACTGGACCCTACCGGCCGGGGTCGCTGCCGCTCTGGGAGGTACTTCCGGCCAGCTGGCAAACCCTACTACAGGGGCCCCTCGGCGAGGAACCACGATCTGCTTCATGCTTCATATGGTGAAGATGGAGTCTAAGGCCCAGAGGTCTATATTCCCGGCGAGAATCCCCAGGCGCGATAGTGTTTTGAGAGCAAGCTGAGCTTCACTGTTGGCAGCAAGCGTCAAGAGTTCTGCCAAACATGTGTGAGGTACATGTGCGCTGCCCTGCAACTGCGCAGGGAGGTGATGCTGCTTGTCTGAGACAGCTCCGACGGGAAGAAAGATCAGGGATGCCAGCTATAGGAAATACTAGTGCTCAGCAGCTAGGTTGTTTTCGTCGACAACCTCAAACGGGATGGGAGACCAGATGGCTATCGAAACGAGGCCGCCGTTTTTCGGCATGAGTCGAAAGCTGGCTTGACATGTGGTTGTGCCGAAAACGCAGGTGCGGCTGCCACCGGACGCGATTCCTGGGCAGCCTGCAGCACAGATGTAGTATGCATTAGTATTCCATAAATCAGGAGAAATGGTCCCAACCTGCACCAAGGATTTGCCTAGCCGACACTTGGGGCTACGAGGCGGAAATGACGTTGAGCCGCAGAGCTTTTTCAATGAAGTCCGTGAGCAGGTGCCACCGCTGGACGTGTTCGCCCTCGGCGTTTGCTTTTTCATCCTTGCTTGGCAAGTGCCACCTTGGAGCCCATCTGGCCTGTTTCCAGAATGCTGTCCTTGGCTTTCTATGCCTTCAAAGTCGGGGCATGTCCCATGTCCTTCCACTCGCGCTTTTCAGGTCGAGCCCTGCCTCTAGACGCTACTTTCATGTATGTCCAGCAGCGTGGGCCTCCCAGCGGCTTGTGCTTGAAGATGCCGTGCTGTGAGTCACCGCAACGACCCACTAAGATGGAATTCCACCACTTCTCAACGCCTGGCATAAGAGACACCTCTCGCCGGAGGATCGTGGATCTGAGGATTGCTTCAGCATTAGATTCCCAGTGGGGCGTCGGACAGGCGATGAAACTTGTGAAGGAGATGGCCGGAATCTTAGTGTGTCGGGAAGATAGGGTCGTGCGATTTGGTCGTCCAAGAGTCTTCCGCTGCAGGTTGCGGCCGATCCGCGCCAGAGGCCGTCAGTGCAGGATTGTCTAGCATCTGCGTGGTGGGCTGCTTAGCGTGCAGTGCCACGTACCCATGTTCTCCACACACCATTTTTGTTCCCGTGTGCGGATCTTGTCCAGGTTAGTCCCACTGCGAAATGATCCAGCTCAGTCCTTGAAGGGGCTTCGTTGCTGCGTCGCCGCACGACCCTGTTTTATGTCTCTGGGACTTCGGTCACTGGCTTGTCAGGTGCCCACGCACCCTGCAGCGGCCACCGAGCACGGAGGCACTCAGAGATAGAGAGAGAGAGAGAGAGGGCCGTTGCATCTTCCTTTTTGCACGTGCTTCCGAGGTGCTGCTTCGTCAACTGTTCCTGCGGATGATATGGTGACCGAAATGGCTCGGATGGACTTGGGCGCACTCTGCCTGGAACAGGTCGTTTTTCCGGCAGAATCGTAGTTGCGACTGCGGATGCCAACTCCAGTGACCTTAGGCACCACAAGCGTGATGCCGGTGAAAAGGTCGGCTTTTCCTCGGATTCAGGCTTTTTGGTATCAAGGCCTTGCATGTTTCATGCCAGTTGCGTTAGGCTGCGGACTCTTCGTGCGTGGATCTCAGCTCAAGCATTCCTTGGCTAGCGCGCTGCCTTGACGTTCCTGCTGGCTGCACTGCTGTGGGAGTTTTACAGGTGGCTTGGGAGTGTCATCTGAGATGAGCTTGACAGTAAACTGGGAGCACTGGAAGTGGATGGTCCACATTCATTGGATCTTGCGGTGCACGTCGAGTCTCTCAGCTTCTTTTGAATTCCTGTGGCAGAGGATGTTCGAAGTTAAAATAACTGGAGCCGCAAGCCTGAGAGCACCTGACAAGTCAGAACCATAGCGAATCGCGCAACAGTTAATGCAGCCGGCTGGAATCATCAGAGCCAGATGTGGCTAACCTTCAGAATGGCGGCTGTGCCTTGAGCTGGCGAGGGATTGTGGAGTGGATGCCGTCACCGCCTGATTAAGTACAGGCAAGTGTCCGGTAGACAGATTGGAGCATGTATGTATTTACGTTTGGTTCCACAAGCAAAGCATTCCATAGGTTCGCGCCCGCGGAAGAGGAATAGATCACCTTGTAAGCCCCAGCATGGCGATCAACCACGTATTGCTGCAGGGGTGTTGTGCAACGAAGGCCTTGGTCTAAGTAACTGGTAGCTGGCCCGAACCACGTTGGACTACACAGGACTGCATGTTCTATCAATTGTAAAATATGTTCGGTTTACGCATGAAGTAGATTTGGCATGGGTACTATGTCGGATCGTACTTTTTACCAAATGTGTCGATCTTGTTCTGTCCAACCTATTTTGATGGCAGATCAATCTGATTCTGGGCAGTGTATCTCAGAGATTGGCTAGTTAGTGTCAAGTTCTTCGACAGCCGGCACTCTGGGAGGTGTCTCCTTTTTCAAGGGTAGAGCTTGTTTGTTCCTCCATGCTGCAATTATGGTTTGTCCATGCAGTTTTTGAAGACTCATGGTGTGTTTCTCCGAATGTGGCTGGGTTGTACGACTGTTCGCAGGAATGGCAAGGAGGTGCGGCTTTTTCTGCTGATTAGTTGCCCTGGCAGCAACGCGAACGTGATCTATTGTTCAGACGGCAGAGCTTCAGCTCAAGGACGGTGTAGCTAATGTCGACACAGGTCAAACGCTGCAGGACAGTTTCGTCGCCGGGGCAGTGTCACCTCAGAGCATGAACACAGAAGGCCCTTTTGGTTCAGAAACCGAGAGTGGCTTCCTTTAGCCAATTTTGCCCACCCTCGCTCTGCTGAGAGGGACTTAGGGATGTCAGAAGGCTTAGACGAATAGACGGTGGCGGGGAGCCTCCGGATGGCTGAGAGCAACAGGTGAGTACATGCTTTAAGGCGAGTCTCCTTTTTCTGTTGCTGGGCAGACCTCCGAGGCAAAGCCTGAGCTACATGGGATGTCTCAGAGAGAGATTTCCATGTAGGGCAGATTTCAGTCTGGAGAAACCAGGTGGAGCTACCCCTCCACTGGCATCGCTGGTAAAAAATGTTCTTCCTGCCGTGGTTTTGCATGATCAACAAAGACATCTATAAGCCTTTGACATTTCCGATACCTGCCGCTAGTTCCCGAGAGTGGGACGTGTGCATGTTGGACGTGCTGGATGCTGCCCAAGATTCCGACAGAAGGAGAGTACCTCGAAGCGGCTCTTGACATCTCTGTAGGCGGCTTTGGATCTAGGGTCCCAACACAAAAGGCCAGCGCTCCAAGCCACAGCCAGGAGACTTCCTGCCCAGAATCCCTAGTTTCGGCCTGTTCGGCCACCTGAGCCATGAGCACGTCAGATCGCTTGTACCTGGAGGACGCCTGCCCTACCTTGCAAAGACTTCTGCAAAGGCTGGGCGCAGCTTTTTTCGATAATCGCGGACCGAGGGCACTCAGATCTCTAAAGCGCCGAGGTCTGCCGGTTCAACTCCTATAGTCCCACAGTTACTAGACATTATAACTTTTGCAGTGGGCCTGGAGAGCTTTGAGGCTACTAGACCTCCACTGAGGTCCTACTGGCGGTGTCATTGCATCGCTTTGACTCCTATTGCCCGGTGTAGAGCTCCGGGTCAAAAGGGTTGGGCAATCCTTGGAGTCTTCAAGACGATGGAGTCTTCGCTTCTAACCAGTTGGGCTCTGGCAGTTTGGTCGAAGAGCCGGGCACGAAGCTGGATGACAGCGACTTCCTGGACTTCGAGGCGGCCTTGGAAAGGGTTTCCTCCATTGGATCCGGGGGTGTGCCTGAAATTGCCTTGCCCTGCCCTGCAGGTGGCCTTCTCAACGGCGATGGAGGGAGAGACCTTGAAACTCAAGGCTCCGATCTTTGATGGAGAGTTGCTGCGATGTGCACGTTGGCCACAATCTCACGCGGGCTCCAGGTTACCTACGAGTTCCTGGCCAACGTCCTGGAGCACGGGTCCAAGGACCGGTGTGGTGTGCGGGGACTCTGCCCTGGCGAGTTGTGTGATGAAGAGTTCAATGACAGGGATGAAATCTCAGATGCTAAACAGACCCGGGCCGGCCTCATAGAACTGGGTCATAAAGGAGCTCTTGGAGCAAGTCTGGGCTGATCTTCCACTGCGCTTTGCCCCTGTCTCCGGTTCGGAGCTTGAAGTGGTCCTGAACACAGCTGCCCTGGCGGAGAACCAGGACCTGGCGACTTGGCAGTCAAGAAGACGCTTCCTCCAAGTACACCGAGTAGAATTTGTTGTCGCATGCTGCTTGCCTTTCCTCCTTCACTGCCCTGCCATCCTGCATGCGCGATTATACGACGCATCGAGGCAAGGCGCTGCGTGCAGCAGGTCGCCACCACCAGGATCTGGCTGTTCCTTGACAGTTCGTCATGCTTAGAGCATCCCTCACTCGGGGCAACTGGGAGAGCCCGCGGGTGTGGTAGCGGTCGTAGCGTGCAGGTTAGTCGGACCTTTGGTGGCGCCTTTACGCTGGCTGCGCGAAGCCGTGGCGACTGGCGACAAGGCTGCCGCAGCTGCGCCACAGAATGCCCAGCAAGCACGCAAGGACGCTGCTCGGACTCAACATCTGGCAGTCTTGTTCGGCGACATCTGCATCCAAGCTGACAAGGCCATGGGACAGCCGCCTGCGCCGATCGTCTTGCACGTGCGGCAGCAAGAGACCTGCTGCATTGCCAGCTGCTTGGGTGAAGCTTCTGATCTTGATGTGCGTGGAATAAAGAGTTGTGGCTCGTAAGGTACCCAAGGAGGATCGTATTCTGGTGATCTTGTCCATCCACTTGGAGGACGATGTCGATGTGGCCTTAGGTAGAGCATTTTGCCGCGGCCCGAGCGGGTGCTAGCTCTTTCGCGCTTTTGCTTCGGGTGTACAGTTGTGTTGTCATCAGTCCTCAAAGACTTAAAGAACCTCCTCGTAGATGCCCCTCTGACGACTCTGAGGTCAGGAATTTGCAGAGACCAACCGACGCTTGCCTTCAGTACCGGCGATGGTTCATGTAGGGATTTTGCTTCTCGATTCTCAAGGCCAGGCCCTGAAGGAAGTGTCCCAGCAACCGAGGCAAGGGCAACGAGTTCTCCCTACCGCCGTCCGCTTAGTGTGAGTGTGAGGCAAAGGGGGTCGTGGGACTCGGATGGCTTTTCACGCGACTTGCCGGCTCGGCTCAAGCCAACTGGCAGCGGTCCCCGATTGTCGGTCCACTGCCCTGGCGCCAGCCGCTCGGGAGCTAGGAGCACTCAGTGTCTGAGTTCCCGTCCTGGCGCGTGTCTTTCTGAGGAAATGAAGCGCATCGCAGTGCTCTCGGTAGCATACCTGCTGGGTGCCGCGGCAAGCGATGCTGCGCCAAAACAGTACCCAGTAACGAAGGCCGCAGGGACGTGCAGCTCCGTACGCCTTCCTGGACCACGAGAGCGCTGTTGCAGGTTGTCAACTTGCTCAAGGATATGCAGAAGAAGCTCGAGGAAGAAGCAGAAAAGGACGAGGAGGTTGACGAGAAGATGAAGTGCTGGTGCAAGGCTGGGCTGTGACGCTGGTGTTTTCCAGCGCAGCGCGACGTGCCAACGTGCCTGACTTGGGATTTCTGCGAGTTGCCAGGAGATGCAGCAGTCGAAAGCAGAGATGCTCGGCAGAAGAGACACGCCGGATACACGGTGTGACATGGTTTCATGGCACTTCAAGCCTCATGCCTTATGCATTCAGTTCCTTCGAGGCCCGTAACCTGTGTAAGGGTGGCCCGGTCTCAGGAGCATCACCAAGATGCAGTCAGAGATGGCCAACCTTGGTGGCCAGATCGACACATCCGCAGCCGACAGCCTGCGCCTGGTGTCGGAGCTGAAGGGTCACGAGGAAGACCTGGCACCTCGCTAGCACTGGGAATCCGACGGGTGACCTGCTCGTGCGATGCTGCGACGCCGAGGCCTCCAGCCAGACTTCCCTGGGTGCGGCCGAAGCCCAGCGAAAGAAGCAGCTGGCAAGCTACGAGGACGAAGTGAAGGAGATGGAGGCGGTGCAAACCTCTTTACAGCGTCTTTGGAGCGACTCTAGGCTCGACATGACAGGAGTCGCTTACTGGAGTGAGCGGTGCTTTGCACACTCTGAAAAACAAAGCTTCCTTCCTCTCAACCTCGGCACCTTGACTGGCACTTGCGGTCGCCTACGTTTTTCCTGCCCATCCACGATTCTCCCCTCAGGCATCGGCTGCGAAGCAGGATGCATTGGAGCTGGTGAAGAAGCTCCAACGGAAGCATTCCAACATCTTGAATCTCGGGCTTTTGGTACACACAACGCTTACAAATCGCTGTTTTTTTGTCTGTGCCTGTCTTTTCAAGGATGGGTGTGGTGACGCCCCGGCAGAGGAAGCTGATGCTCGCGATGACCTCGAAGCGCCTCGACGTCGATGCTGCGGTGGAGGGCAGCCCGGCGACAGGCCGCGGCCGGAACAGAGAAGCCCATGAAGCCCCCAGAGCGCTGTTCGGTACTTGCGCGCAGCCTTCGAGTGCAGGAGAAGTGGTCGGCGTGCTGTCGTCCATGAAGGACCGGCCTCGACTGTCTAGCACAGAAGTGCCGCAGCCTTCGAGTGCAGGACACCTTCGAGCAGAATCTGAACCGAACGCGGGCAGAGGAGGCAGAGAGCACGGAGACGTTCCAGGCTCTGCACAAGGCGAAGGAGACTGAGATCCACGCCACTGAGGAGGTGCCGCAGAGTGAAAGCCCTGCAGTGTGATACGGCACTAGCGGGCACGTGAAATCTGCATGGATGGGCTGTGCCAGGCCATCGTGTCCAAAAAGTCTCAGAAAGCCGAAGCAGACAAGAAAAAGGCTTGGGCAGCCGAGACCCTGCAGGATGCAAAGGCCTACGGCTGGTGCTCTCTTTTTCTGGGTCATGTCACGATGTCGTATGGGAAAGGCCAGCCTCCTCTCCGACCAGCAGTTCCTCCAGGATGCCAAGGACCCCTCTGTGATTTCTCCACGTGTGGGGCTTCCCTAAGAGTGAAGCGCAACAGGAGAAGTGTGCGGCTCACGAAGCGGAGTATGCGGAGCGTGTGGCTGCGCGCAACGAAGAGATCACTGGCTGCTCGAAGGCGTCGACAGTTGGTGGAGCTAACCCACAGCATCCAACTCACGTCTTCTGCAAGGCCATAGCCATGCTCAGCGATGACTCCGCCCGAGACACATTCAGTCCGCGACTAATGCCAAGCTTCTTGCATGGATCGCATCCATTCATCAGTCGCGATGCATGGTTTTGCGGCAGGCCGAACTTTCAATGCTGGCGCCATGTTCCTCCAAGTGGACACCAGCAAAGAGCACCGCGTGGCTGCGAGCGAGACCCTGACGGAGGCAGCCGCCAAATTGCACGACTCCCGGTCTTGGCCTCGGCATTCGGCGCATTTCGGTGCCGCAAGGTTTTCTTTCTTCAGGGGCCCAGTTCCTCACTCCGAGGCTCGCGGCACTGGCGAGGATGGTGCGCACCGACTCGCTGGATGCGGTCAAGAAGGCTGTGGCACACTGGTTCTTCAAGGCTTCGAGCAAACACCACGCCCCAGGAAATCGACAAGCTGACATCCCAGCTGAAAGAAGTGCAGAAGGATAGAAGATGATAGAAGAGAAATGAAGAGAAGATGTTTCTGGACCCTCTAGCTAGAACAATTGGCAGATTTCTCGACTCTTCGAGGAGGAGGTGAAGGGCAAGGACTCCTGCGTCCAGCGCCTTCACGAGAACACTCTCGCGACTGGGCTTGCACATAACCGCTCCCTGTCTTGCCCGTGGAATGTGGAATCCTTGAGGATACCGAGCAGTCGACGCTTGCCAAGACTCAAAGCGGCAGCAAGCTGACAGGTCTTCAGGCCAGATGTCTACAGAGACCCGTGAGCTTCAGATTCGGGTCATCGCTTGCTTGCAACAATGGGATCTCTGCCCGGTTGCACGATTTCTTCCTACCTTATGGGGCGATAATCCTTCCGCCCGCAGTGATTCTGGTTTTGCCGTGGCTCAGACTCTGACTTGCTTTAAGCAGACGGCGGAGCACACCTGGCTACACTTGACGAGTGCAGAGCTTTTTCGTTGAATGAGTTCGCGTTTGAAAGGACCTGGTCGCAACGAGCGAGGCCTCGGCCAAGACGCTGTCGATGGAGATCGAGGACCTGAAGTCCGAGCTAAAGACGGCCAAGAGCGACATGGAGCTGAGGCAAAACGAGCCACTAGGCTCAGCCTTGCAGTTTCCTTAGGGCCCCATAGGTCTTTGGACTCCTGGCCACAACGAAGGTCCCATGCCATGATCGAGGACCAGGTCAGAACGCAGAGGCGAGGCTGCTGGGATTTAGGGATGCCCGGAAGGCGCCGAAGCCGACAATTTTCGGGTTTATGCTCGGGCAGCAGAGACAATGGTGATGGCCAGGGTGATGAGGGCGCAGATAGTGAGAATGACGATGATGACACTCATGATTGTCATGGTTCTGGTGCTGATGTGGATGATGACCGTCCTCTTACTGCCATAACGTGTTCCTCGATTGCTTTGGCCCTGAAGGCTTTTAACTCGTGCAGCAGACGTGTTGCACGGGGTGTACGGCGCCAGCCTGCTGCAGGCATGGGGCATAGAGAGGGTTCAGGGCCCAAACTTCTGGGCTCTGCTTGTAGGGCGGAGTTTCTGAGCCGCGAGGAGAAACCCGAAGGGTTCAAAGACTACCAGCGCCAAAGCGGCTCCGTGGGCATCATTTCCATGCTCCACCAGATCATTGGCGACGCCAAGATCATGGAGACAAAGGCGAGGGTAAGCCTCTCAGATGCCCATTCCACGGCTGCAGTGCGCCGAAGTCCTTGTTGGGGGAATGTGAGCATTTCTTTAATGCGGGCTGCTGTACAGCGGCTCGGCGCCGAGCCCAGGCAGACCTGAATGCATCCCTAGCTGACTACGAGCGCTTCAAGGCGGATGCGACGTCTGCTATTGCCAAGAAGGAGACATCGGGACTCTCGTGAAGCCATGAGCTTCTGGACATGGAGACTTTTTCCAGGAGCAGAGTTTGGTGGACCTCGCCGTGCAGAAGTCCGAGGCGAAGTCCGATGCGCTTGAAATGAAGAAGGAGGCAAAGATGGCATTTGACTGCTTCCGACGGATCCAAACGCAGTGCATGGTTCATGCCGTGGACGAGGTCAAGAGGCTCAGTCAGGAGTTGGATGACCTCTCAGCGACAAAGTCTGCACTGAAAGAGGCCTATGCGGTTTTTCTGCCCACCTTTTTTTCTGAAAGTTAAGCTCACTTTTGGGGAGCTGCAGAGGAGTGCGAATTCCTCGTCACCAACTTCGAGCTGCGACAGGATGCTCGCTCCCAGGCCCCCCCTCGAAGCTGTGCTCGAAGCTCGCTGTGTCCTTTTCTTGAAAGTCACTGTTGGATCCACGGCGGTTAATTACGTTGGGAACTGCACGTCGGCAGCTCGACAGCTGTCCATGGGCGCACATGCTACCACCGACAGCCGCACCAGCCCAGCAAAGCGGCCATGCAGCGCGGTTCGCGATCACTATCCTTGCTCCGTGTCCTGCCACATTGAACTCTGCAATCTCTTGGCCGCGCCTATGAGAGCCCTGCTGCATGGAGGAAATTGAAGCTCTACACACGGCGAAAGCTGTGCTGAGCAGCTTGGCTGTACGTTCGTCGAATCACCGATTCGTAGAAGCTTGTGTGAGAGTCAATAGAATCACCTACCAAGCTGTACGCTGTGGCGCTGGTCCCTTCGGTCAGATTCGGGCTGCACGGCTCTCGGTTCCATTCTCTGAGGTGGCATGAAGACTGATGGTGAAATCGCATAACTTGGACCGCCCGCATCTTCGACGCAGACGGCCAAAAGCTTGCAGACTTTTAGTTGTCGTTGCTGTTGTATCCTGTGGTGGTGACTCGGATGGACTCTAAGTTGGTTTGCCGAAGTCCCCGAGCCATCGGCTCGAGACATACATGGACTCACACAGAAGTGTAAAGACGGACTAAACTGGCTACACTACACGGACTACACTATCACTATCATTGCTTGCGTACTTATGCCACTCACTGGTAGCACAGTCCCATGTCAACGGATGGCTCAATGCCATGAAGCAGCGACGTTGCTGCCTCCCGAGACCAAGAGCACAGAGGTGGCCGAGGTCCTGCAGTTTGGTTGCGTGCAGGCAGCTTTGTCATGTGACCCTCCATGCATTCAGGCATGGAAGAGGCGACGCAGAAGTGCCCTGTTAGCCTTGCCAGCGCTGCTTCTCGCAGTGCCGCTGGTGTGGTGGAGGCTTGAGCAAGTCCACAGTGGCCAAGTGCGGGGTTGTGCTGAGCCTCGGTTCAGATGGTGACTGTACGAGGCAGTCGACGGCCAGCTCACCCAACTTGGAGCCTGTGGCCCTTCCGGACGTACAGCAGCTGAGACTCGGCAGCTTTCGTCTCTCATGGAGACGTCCGCGCAGCAGTAACGTGTGCAGCACTTGCAGCATGCTCAGGATCAGATTGGCTGCTGCTCTGGATCCAGAACAAGAGGTTCTGCACGCCTTGGGCTTCCAGAACTCAAGCGACGACTTTCAAACCTCGGCAGCCCGGCAGGAACTAGGGCTTTGTCCGTGACGCCCATGTGGCCGGTTCTGGTAGACAGGGCCCAGCTCCGAGGTAAGGCGTAAGCTGCAGGCTGCGGGACTGCCGCCTCTCAGGGAGGCCTGCTTCAATCTGCGGAATTGAGCAACGCGGCTGGAAGCCCCTTTCACAGGCCCTAGAGGCGGAGACGGAGTACGATCCCAGCGCCAACATCGGCGTGGCAGCAGCTCGACCCTGATACTCTGGCTTCGCACGCGTGTCGGGCTTCATTCTCGGCAGGGTGAAGGGCTGGGAGGGCAGGAGAAGCGACGAGGTGTTGGCTCCGAGAGACAGCACATCAGGTAAAGGCCTTCTAAAATGTCGGTCTAGGCTCTGGACACACTGTCGTGGCCGGGGCGAGCTGAGGTTTGCGTTGTGGATGTGGGCCAGACCTTCTTCCAGTTGGGCCAAGGGCTGATGGCGATCAATGCAGCCAGCATCAGCTGCATCACTGGTGCCAATGTCAGTCCTTGGATTGCAGGAAGAGACAGGTCCAGTTTGACTTGATTAGCTTAGTATTCTGGCATTGCAAAGTTTCCATGCTTAGAGCCCTTTCTCCTGTGTTTTCGAGGTGCTGCTGACAAGCAAGCGAATGCCCCAGGCAGCAACATGTCGCGCAAGAATGCCAGCCGCCCATGTGTTCAGGCTTGCAGCGTCTCAGTGTCTTATGCGATTGCAGCATCCCGTCTGCAGTTTGTGCCTTTGGCTCCTGCTCGTGCTTGCAATTCTTTCCGGTTCGTTGCAAGCGTTGAGTTGTTCCCTGCCGTGCCTGCGTGCCGAGGGAATTGTGTGGGCCGTCAGCTTTGCGACCGACGCCATCTCGCAGTGTGCAGGCTCCTTGAACCTTCAGGCAGTTGCTCGACTCCCAACTAAGTGCAACTTCCGAGCTGTAGCGGCATCGGGCGCCGTCTTGCTCTGAGGCTTGTGCAACCGATTTGACGGTGAACCTCGGCTCCTGGTCCTTTCTGTCTTCCTCCATCAGTTCCATGGTGCTCAACTGCCCCACGAGCCGCTCAGAGTGAAGTGAGTAGCGGCGTAGCTCTCAAAAATGTGCGGAGATGAGGCGCAGAACCACACACGCTGCAGTCGCTGTCGAAGCTTGGGCTGCAAACTAATTTGTCTTCTTCCTTATTCTTGTCGCTCCGTAGAGATTTGTGCAACTATCTGCTTTTATAATCGTTTTATCTCTCTCCATCTCTCTCTGTCTCTCTCTGGCGACTCTGCGGCCAACTCTCCTGACATCTGCAGCCAAGGATGCTCGGCGGACGACGCTTAGGCCAGGGAGCCTGTGGTTGGCGGTTTTGAGATTGGCTTAACTTAGTAAGGGTTTCCTGGCTAAGCCTCACGCTGCAGACTTACGCCAGCTGACTTGGAGTGGCGGTTTCCAGGGAACAGGTCGGTGCAGGAGCTGCGGCGTGGGCCTCCAGGACTTGAGGTGTCGATGATGCTTCGCCGACCACGGCAGAGCATCAAGTTCTGTTGCGGAAAGCAGAGCCGGCATATGGACAATATACTATATGCACCTCCGTCCTGCAGAGCTGCCGTTGCCAGTAAAGTAGAGCGGCTTTCAGTCCCAAGAAAGCAGGTGATGCAGATGGCATTGATGTCAAGAAGCTGGCGCCGGACCCAATCCTGGAGCGAGAAGCGAGCACGCTGGACATGATAGAAGAGATCAAGCAACACAAGGAAGATGAGGCAAGCCGAGAGAGCTTGTTGTGATGAGAGTTGCCCACGTTTCATGATATCGTGTCCTGTGTGAGGAGATCCGAAGCGCGCTGAAAGCGACCTGCTTCTTCGACGTGGGCAATCCGGCCTCATCAGGCTTAGCACAGCACTGCTTACAGCCGACAGCAAAGAGTACGACACACTATGGAACAAGACATTCCAGCGGTCCTATCTGGTGTTCCTGAAATGCCACAATGACATGGCGATCTTTGTCCTTGTCGTCCAGCGGTGATGTCATGTTACCTGCGCAACGGGTCATACGCAGCTCGTGCATTCCTGGGTTCTAAGGTCATGCTGCATTCTGGGCAGCTCGGGTTGGCACGAGCATCACTCAGGCCCATGCTGGAGCTGGGCTGTGACCGTCTGTACGATCCCTCGCCGACATCTCGAAAGTTTGCTGCTTGACGGCAGGCCACTTTGGATTGCACAGAGAAGAGCTTCGCCAGTGCAGGCGAAGCAGGAAAGTGTCTCGGCAAGCTAAGCTAAGGCATCGAGTCTTCCTCTGTGCGTCTGTAGATATCGGCATGGAGATCCAAGGATGTCCTGCTCAGTTGATGTGAGCGGCATCATTGGGGCAGCTGCCTTTCTTGGCAGCACCATCGCTCTCACAGTGGCTGGCTGCCCAGCGGCGCTCGACAAGGACAGGAACTCTCCCAGACCAATAGCCCAAGTCTAAAGATGTCTAAAGGTCTATGCCTCTCGTGACATCACGCTCAGATCGCAAACCCGTGCATTCCCATCCCATACCCGGACAGGCGAAAGGAAGCTGTAGAGCGGGGTGTGGGTCCCGCGATGGAGTATGCTGGGATGGCGGGATAAAGTTCTGTTCACCAGAGGCTGGTTATGTGATGAGTCAGTCGGATGACGTGCAAGTACAAGATGCTACAAGCACAAGTTGCATAAGCACATCCGCTTGTGACTCTGAAGGACGTCAGCAACACGCTGTGTGCAGCTGCTATCATTGACACCGCGACATGGCAGAAGGACTCGGATTGTCCTGGCGGTTGCCTGTGCAACAAGCGCACTGAGATTGTGCCCGACATGCCCGACATAGAGTCATCCCGTTTCTGAAACCAAGGTTGGAGTAGTTGGCTACCTGGCCCAATCCTTCTCCAGCATCGGGTCAACCTGTCACAAGCTCGCTCAGCATGTGTGATCTTTGCTGTCTAAAGTTAGTGCATCCCGACTCCAACGCGGGTTGGACTTTGAGGCCAACGTGTCTCGCGTAGCTTTTCTGTGGGCTTCTTTCTAGCCGTCAAAGCACGCCCGACGGAAGCCTGCACAGGGAAGACTGTGATATTGATGCCTGTGGAACGGTTTGTCCCCTGCTCTCTGGTGAACCAGTGTCCGAGTTTCACATCTGTGCTCACGGTGTTCTCAGGTGCTCCTTCCACGAGGCCAAGGACAAGGACATGTTGAGCAACTTGCGAGGCAGGGGCACTCTGGCGCGTTGATTCGTGTTTCATGTTGAAATGGGAGTCTGCCTAAAAGGCTTGAACGTCAGCACAAACCCCAATGTGGGCTGGCTAACCCTGACGCTGACTGACCAGCCGGAGCCTCATGCTTCACGGCAGCCACAAGCGAGATACGTTTAAGGTGAAGCGTAGCCAGTCTGCAGTCATTCCAACTTGCATGTGGAGGCGTGGAGCTGTAAGAAGAGCATCCCCTGTAAATCTGCGAAGCAGTTAAGATTTATTATCGTCTATCTCGTTTTTGGAAGTTGCGTGATTTTGCTTGGGGCTTCCATTAGAACAACCATGTCACGTCAGCTGGTTAGTTTTGCCCAGCTGGGCGAGGCCATTGAAGGCCGACGGCGGTTTAATGAATTGCCTTCTCACAGCGTTGTGAGAAATTGTAAGACTGATGATTCTCTTTCCGTTGCCTGCTCGCTGCAAGATCTTGCTGCTTGTGCCAGGTTCATCCGGGTTCCACGATAGTGAGGCTTGAGTAGGTGTCGTCAGATACCGCCCTGGAGAGGGAAACACATCCTGACGGCATTCCCCGTATGTCACTTTTGCAGCGAGGAGGCTATGTAGGGCGGCTAGGGACTTCGTTGCTTTGTTCTGTTGCTAGTTTACCGGGGGAGTGCCTCTTTCAAGTCAGTCAGTCCGATTTCCCTCTGTGCGCTTATCACCATGGGCATAGGAGGCTCCGAGACAGTCACACGTACGGTTAGTTGCAAGAGCTGTGGACAGCAATTGAGGCACGTACGCGGAGCCACAGAGGAACCGGCAGTTGCGAGCGTTGTGGTTCGAATCTTCACAGGGTCGTGCAGAAATCGTAGTCCACGTGGTGAGACACAGCTGCGCCTTTGAGACAATGTTGAAAGATTTGCCAGGAGCGTCTGTGGGCTCTTGCTCGTCCTGCCGGATGCAGAGCTTCGCAGTTTGGGATTGCTGCTCGTTGCAAATGGAAGCCTCGAGGTCATGACTTTCCGAAACTTCTTCCTCTTCCACCTGCCTCGCCCTTAATCAGCCTTAGGAAGTACTTGAAGTTCCTGCTTTCTGCTTTTCTTCTGGCCTGCCCCGCAGGAAGCACACGAAGAGCTACCTTCATTCCAGGCCCGGGCCCGGGAACCGGAAGCGGGCAGCGATGTGCTTTTGACCGAGGCTCCGGAAGCGGCTTGACCACTGGCAGCAGCAGATCAGCAAAGCTCGTCGACGGCGGGCCCAGGCTCGAAGTGCCTGTGTGATGCCCGTTTGAGGCCTGCGATCGCTGACTGGAAGCCTTTGGCTGCAGCGGGAAGGGCACTAGGAAAGGTGCACGGCCTTTGAATCCGAAAGTGGAGCCCTGGAAAGTTCCAGCCCTGGGACGCGGTGCACTCTGGAAAAGCAGTGCTACTTCCTCCCTTTTCCTCGCCGTCTCGTCTCGTTGCTGTCAGGTCCAGCCATGGCCTCGCGTCCTTTGACGACGCTGCTTCTCTGTGCCGTCTGCCAAGAGAGGGCTGAGAGGAAGCTTGATTGGGACGTCGTTGTTTGGGGCCGGGAAGCTTGCAGGTGGCGGCCATGTACTTCGGGCAAAGTCTTCTGGAAGCCTTCGTGGCGCCAGCAAAGCAGGTGACTCCGCTGCTGCGGTTGATCGTCCGAAGAATGCAGCTCTGGTGTCTAGGCATCCCTGCGATCACGGGCACCAGCCGTGTCCATGCAGCTTTTCCAGCAAGAGCCGAAGGCTGGCCGGGACTCGGATAGCTAGGACACAAAAATCACCCCACTTGTCCGAAGGAAGCGCCAACTGAGCCGCCACAAGGGCAACCATCCTCACCGCAGGGCATTGGCACCTTGTCGTGCAAGTCGCAGCTGCAATCGGGTTCATCATGTATTTGTCTCTTACTCTTTTCGGGTTTCGAGTCTGAGCAGCTAAGGGGAGTACTTGGTCATTATCGTCCCTAGCTCAGCCCTGGGTCAGGCAGCTGCCGCAGAGGCCTTTTGCTTTGCACCAGTGCCCCCCCCCGCAGGTCGGAGTGATCATCATTGCGGCACCCTTCGTCCTCTTCAGCCCGCCGGACGACTCGGTCGAAAAGTTCGTCGAAAGGGAGGTGCGTGCGATCGTTCTGCCGGGGCCACGGCAAACTACACTCTACATGACTCACTCTGCAAGGCAGTGTCGGGCATTTCATGAGAAGCTGACGAGGTTTTGGCAAACCTATTCGTTGTATTCAGCTAGCTTGTATACGTTGCGTCTGGAGACATCTGCAAAAAAGCACCAGACTTTTCGGCGACGCTGCTCGAAAACAGTGATGCTCGAATCAGCTGTGACATCACAGGAGCTCGCAGGGCAGCCCGCAGTCTAACCTCCCGCCAAAGCCGACAGGAGAAGCGCCGACTCATTAGCGGCAAGGTTCGGCAACGTGTGGCAACACATGTGATTCTGCTCGTCGACCATGCCACGCAGACTTGACCTCAGGAGTTCGTGCCGCCTTCTCGCACCCCGGGCGCGGTGTGAGAGCCTGTGCAGCGCGCAGCTGCACGCAGCTTGCATCGCTTAAAAAGCGAGCACTTTTGGGTGCTCTTCAGGCCGCTTGTGTGTTGCACTCTTGAGCGGTTATGCATGGATCCAGAGGGCAAGAGCATCAGTGTCTTGGCTGCTTTTTCCGGACGAACATCGTCTTTCCCGGCTCCTCAATCATGAGTATCTGCGCAAGGCGATTCTGACAGAAGGTGTGGCAGCTGTAGGTACTACAAACAGTCAATCAGTATTTTCCTGCAGTCGAGCCCGAAGCAATGGTTGGTGCAGAATCCCGTCTGCAAGTCAGGGCGTACTGAGGTTGTCTCAACGACATGTCTCTGGCAATGTTTCGTTCGTGAGTTCCATAAGCTGTAAATTGGTTGGTTGTGCCATTTTTTAAACCTGAGCTGGCATTGCATTCGCAGGTTGTCCCTGCCACCCTGGGCCATTGAACTCGAGGTGCCAGATCTTTCGACCCACCTTAGACAACCCTCTAGAAGCGGGCTCTGATTTTGTGGAGATTGGAGATGGGCCTTGGCGTTTCCAAGGAACCGTTTTGTCAACATGAGCCTAGGACGGTGCAACGGCCGGATGGCTGTTGAAGCGCTCTGCTGCTTTTCACGACCGCTGGGTGCGCCATTGGTGTGTCTTCAAGTACTCCCAGGACTCCTCCAGTTCTTGGTGGTCCCCGCAACACAGGTCGAGCCGTTTGGAGTTTGGGGTCGAGGTTTTGCCTCTCCGTTTCAAGAAACTGCGCAGACAACGATCGGAAAGGAAGTCAGAGTGGTAGGCTGCAGCTTCGAGAGGAGGAGGATATCTTGGTTCTGGATTGCTACGCGGACGACTCTTGTAGGCATGGGGATCATGGTGGACACAGTCGTAGACCCGGTGTGTGCTGCGTTCATTTCTGCGGAGGAGGCGTCTTTACCACATCTGCATGGGCAAGGGCGCCCGTGTGCTTCGAATACAGTCTCAGGAGGTCCCAGCGGTGTGGGGCTCACCTGAATCTGTGAAGCACGGCCTCTGATTCGGCCGGTGGTTTTGCTGAGGCCTTCCTGAAGTTCAAGCAGCAACGTCCACACAGCTTGATCATCGACACGGGAGCTCTGCATGCAGCATAGAGCTCTTTCTTGACCTGGTGCAAGCGCCGCCTTTGTCCTTTTTTCATCTTCGACGCCATCGATGCAAACAGCGACTTGGCTGCAGAAGGCAGTCCCGACCAGTGCTCAAAAGGTCAGCTAGCAGCTAGTACTCGCAACATGGAGCTGAGCTTAGAGTAGGCCGCCCGGGGTAGGAGACGAGGATGGCCGCCTCCTGGACTCCTGAGCTCAACCGATCGCCTTCCCTGAGAGCAGGCCATCGCCTTTGGGACAGCAACGTCGCCTCGCAGCTGCAGGTCTGAGAGCTTCGGCGGAGAGCGGAAGAGCGCCCCGTGTGTTTTAGCCACGGTGCAGGCGCTGGATTTGAAGAGAAGGCCCGGCAACACTCACTGCTCCCAGGGATCCCCATGGCCCTGGGCCTCGCTTGCTTGCCCTGTGAAGGCGCCACCAGGAGGAGCAGCTGATGCTGCTCGCCTAAAATAGGAGGAGTTTGCAGAGAGATGTTTTTGGGGCGGAAGTGGTGTGCCCTAGGAACGATCGAACGAAGATTATCGATTCCATCTTTGTCCCTTGGCTCCCAGGGTGGGTTCAGGATTCCTTTCGCCTCGCCTCACTCTTGGAACTCATATAATGTCCATGCTTCCTTGGCAGTGGTACGCTGACGCGAGTGCCTTGATCAACATGCCTTGACCCGTTCCTATACCTGGCTGCATCAGGCTTGTCTGGATCAAGGAAAGGTTGGCTGCCTGCCGGCACTGGCATTTCCGTCTGAGAGGTAGTGGTCTGCAAAGCTCCTCGTCGCAGGGTTCTCAATGGATCCAAGGCACTATTTGGTCCGATGGCTTGCGGCGCTACGCCGAGACGTGCCCGGTCTATCATAAAAGGTAGATTCCAAGCATGGGGCACACAGGGTCCACCAAGCGCTCGCCTAACTTGTTGGCTGCATCAAACTCGTGGGGAGAGTCATGGGCATCAAACCCATGGGGAGTCTTGGGCTTGTTCATGTTTGTTTGCACATGCAAGGTCAGGCTTCTCGGGTTCGGATGCAGAGTGGCAGCACGAGTTTCAAGAGCTCTGCGAAGATCGTGGCTGGAAGGACAGCACTTCCTTCTTCAGAGCTGTCTGCCCGTATAGACACGACAGAACAAAGACTCTACGCAGACTCTCCCTTGCCGCTCCCTCAAGATCCGATGAGAAAGAGAGGCGACGCCAGTCGTGGCCTCTCCCGAGCCGCCTTCGGGTCGCGGCAAGTGGGGAGTGGTAACAGCAGGGTGAAAGGGGCAGGATGACCGTCACGCGTCAGAAGCGCTGTGCAGGAGGAGAAAGAAATCAATGCTAGCCAATTCGGCAAGCTGCTTTGCAGAATGCGAGCGTTCATGCCGTTCCAGTTCTCGTGTCCGTGGAAGAGAGACTTATGACTTGCTTCCAAGATTCCTCAGCAGTGACACCAGCGTCTCGCTCAAAGAGCTCTGCAAGATCCTCGAATGCCTGCAGGGATTATATGACCCACCGGCAACCGACACTTGGCAGTGTACAAGCAGAAACAAGGTCATCGTGGCGGTGTGAAATCCATGACGGAGTCAGCCCAAGGACTCGTGGGTAAAGCAAAGCGTCGTGAGCAAGAACTTGCAGCTCAAAAGCAGGCAGACACCTGCACAACCCAAAATTCAAGTTGCTCTTTCTCCTTTGTTCTGGGGAGGTCGGACATCATCTCGGCCCTGTTCAACTGCTTAAAGTCCAGAGAGACAGGCACCACTGACCGGTGATTAGACGGTGCAGACTGTTCATGTTCTGGAGCAGTGCCTTGAGTTTGAGGTCGGATCGGATGCGAAGAGTTGCAGCGCTGCACAACTGAATTACTCCATGTCGACTGTAGTGTGGATGTTGGGGCTGCCCTGTGCACCGTGAAGGCTATGCTACCCTCTCGGGCTTCGATGGTGATGATGACGATTGGTCAGAAGAGTATCACGAGCTTTGCGAAGAAAAGGGCTGGGACAAGGCCGCACCTCCAGCTTCCCTGATCACAGCCACAGCCAGCATCCAAGACCCTGACAGGACATCGGCTTGGTCCATGATGATTTCATGGCCTTGCTGGAAGACGAATCTTGGCATGAACCACTGGGCCATCAGGAGAACGAAGCTCCTGTGCTCACAGAGCTTACGTGGTTGGACCTCCGAGGACTCCATGGGATCAGACGACGAGCTGAAAGCCATGCTGATGGAGCTGCGGATGCCGCGTAAGCGAGCAAGGACCAGACAGGGAGGCACTCGAAAGCAAGATGGCTGCATTCAGCTCGACACGCATGAATGAGTCGGGTTTCCGAGAGAAGTATCGGATCCCGCCCGGAGCCCATGGCCGCAAAAAATCTTGCCTGCAGCTGAATGCTCAGTGATGCGTGGCGAGGACCTTTGATCAGATGTCCCATTCGGCCAAGCAGAGTGCGGCCGGTCGCGTGCGATCGGAGATTTCCGACATGACGCGCCTCTCGTCCGGACACCCGAAAGTTTCCCAAAGCACACGTCTTGCATAAGAAGTAGAACACCGAAAGCAAGGCAATGGCGTGTACTGACTGTAGTGTTTCTTGCAAGCAGTTCTCGCACGGCGTCCCAGGAGCGGAGCTGGTGAAGGAAGCTTTTGCATCTTTGGATGTGCGGCGGAATGCAGTGCTCGGCTCCCGAGAATTCAGGCGACACTGGCGCCTTTGCATTCCAGCCATCCCAGCCGAAAGCGCTTCATGTCGTCCCACAGGCGCTATGCAGAGATGACAGGCTACGATGGAGGCGGGACACAGTCGAATAGAGATGCGAGGTCGGGCCGCGCATGAGGGCGAGACTCCTAAGGAGAGGAATCTTGGCCTGAGCTCTACAAGGAGCTCTGCGACGACTATGGATGGCAGCCCGGAGCAGGGGTTACACTCGAGCAGTTCACGGTGTCTTGGCTACGTTATGCCTGCAAGGAACAGGCAGAGCGTCCCTGTTGACATCGGATTGGGATGGGTTGGGCTCTGAAAGGTCTTCATTGGCGACGAGTCGCACTCGTCAGACGATGAACTGCAGCAGCAACCTGAGCATGTGATTCTGGCAGATCGTGGGTTCTAAAGGCAGTATGAAGAGTTGGAGGTCTCGGGTTCAGGGGTCAAGAGGGTCTTTAGGGTTCGGGTTGCCGAGTAGTGCCCCTTGTTCGCTTGGTCTTCTTAAGATAACAGGCAGGACAATATGTAGGATGTGTTACAATGTATGAAGTTGTAGGATATACATCCGTAAACGCATGCTATGTCATTATGTTGTGCATTCAAGACCAGTTTTTGAGCAGCATACATAGTGCCATACATACGCGCGTGGTGTGATCTTTGACATGGACTTCCTGCAAAAAAGCCTGACTACCTTACACCGACATCTCAATCCTCAAACCCTGTTTGAGATCCATTCTCGGCTGCCGTTTACATCCCTTTACTGCTGGCTGGAGGTGACGATTTAGAGGTGTCGATATTTTAGCTGCTATGCACCTAGCAGCATGTCAAGCCAGCCTAGCCGGTGCGTGGACGTGGGGCGGAAACTTCATGGAGGGAAAGGTTGAAGTTGCTTTGCTCTACCAGCCAGCTTGCGTTTCAAGTCACGCTCCTGGCTTGTCATCTTCTGTTTCCCAAACCAACACGGCAATACTATGCTCAACAAGGGAACAACCCAGAAGTAGACTCTAGGAAACAGGCATCGACCAACAGAGGTTGTTTGGGGAAGCCGTGCAGAGCCAAGCGGGCGAGTTCGGCGGTGGCTTGTTCGGAGCCGTCGAAAACCGAAAACCGCTTTCTGGAAGATGGCGATCCGCTGTGCTTCTGAGCATTCCGACCCTTGGCCTTGGCGGCCTTGGTTCTCGCAGCGAATTATGGCATCGTCGCCGCCGCCTCGCGTCCCGAGCGTTAGCCAGGCAGTTCGCGGAGGTGACTAGGCCATTCGCCCATACCAGTTCGCGCTGCACGTCCGTGCCGGCACAGATTGCCTGGAAGCCATTTTGCGAGTGGCGACTGAGTTGAAGTCTGCAGTCTCCGTTGCAGTGTCCGCAGAGCCCGATGTCATGTGTCATTTTGGCATGTGCACGTGATGTTTGTATGCCGTATGTATGTATGTATGTATGTATGTCTGTATGTATGTATGTAATGTATGTATGTATGTATGTATGTATTTATCTATGTATGTATGTGTGTATGTGTGTGTATGTATGTATGTATGTATGTATGTATGTATGCATGGAAGATTATGTGCGCACACATAAGTGTGGGTATATCTGCATCGGTATCTGCTTAGGGTTGCATATATATATATATATTAGTACATCCATCTATCTATATCTATATAGAACATACAACATACAGAATTAGATAAATCTATGTCTATATACCTTTATGTCTACATATGAACCTAAATGTACACATGCGCTTGTGTTCTCTCGATCTCTCTCTCTGTCTCTCTATATATATATATAGATATATACATACATACATACATACACGGATATACATACACATGCATATGTATGTATTCCATGGTATTTCGGCATGTCTACTCCTATCTCTGACTCTCTATAGCTCCCTCTAGCTCTCCGGCACGCCAGCTGTGTGGCCGTCTATCTCTACAGATTTCTCGATCTCACTAGCTCTCTGTAAATATCTCTGTTTGTCTCTCTCTCTCCACATCTTGCTGCCTCTCTCTCTTTCTCTCTTTCTCTCTCTCTATCTCTCTCTCGCCACCTCTCTATCTCTCTACCCCTATCTCTCTTTATGTGTCTCTATCGCTGTCTATCTGTCTCCATTTCTATCCATGTGTACCTCTCTCTACCTCTGTCTTTCTCTCTGTCTGTCCTCCTTCTCTTCTGGCCATGCCTCGGATTCTATCTTTATTTCTATCTAAGTCTATCTACCTCTACGCACCGAGGGTGGATAAATGGAGCACTGGATGGACATTGCCAGGTATGGATAGCTGACTGGATGGATACACGTGAGTTGCAGAAAAGATGGACGCGTAGGTCCTGGATATGTGGATAGGCTGATGAAATTGCATGGCGCTCTATCATACTGTGGTACTATGTTTGTACAGTACAGTAGTTCTTAGCTTCTCGCTTGTAAGGGAGCTGGTCCTCGAGCTCCGGCTGCAGCAGGATGCGGCCCTCCGGCGATTTCGCAGCGCGGTCCACCGGCCGGGGGGTGGGCACGGGGAATGTGCATCGAATTTTACCCGCATTCCCAGCCCTGAGAAGGCTTGCAGGCATGAAAGAACCAAGGGGGCTTAGCCGTGCATGCTGGCGAGCGACACTGGGCAGGGTGCTTTGGTTGCTGCGCTACAACGGCAGCAAGCCACTCGCCTGCATCCGGATTTCGGAGGCAGTAGGGTGAATCCAGCTTGTCGCAGCTGAGGCCTCCACGTGGCCAGCTGACGCGACAGGACAAGCTCGGATGTGGAGACCACTGGAGCGACTGTGACTCTGGCAGGAAATCGAGACAATGTCAAGAAAAGAGCTCATGGATGTGACTCGCCGGCACACTATGCAGATCTTGCGTGTGCGCTCCTGCAAGATACTCTCGACGGCTTGATTTCACGATCTTTGGAAGCTCGTGTCCAGGCACTGTTCGATGCACTGGATCGGAAACAAACGCAGAAACTAGACTCGAAGGCTATGCGCCAATTTGTGGTTCGGCTGCAGATGTGTTGCTCCGCTAGAATGTTAGTTGACCGTCCGATGCTTGTTGTCTCAGGCCCATCTGACTGGCTTCTATGGTGACGATGCAGACTGGGATATGGAGTTCCGTGGCATGTGCGAACATTTTGACTGGAGCGCGTCGGAAGGACTGTGATTCGCTGCGCTTGCTTTGCTTCGGTTTATGTGAACTTGTGCGACAGGTAGATCGTAGAATTCAGATGTCAGGTTCAGGAAGATCTGGTGAAGACCACTTCCCCACTCGCCTCCAGGAATAAGCAGATCCCAGTTCCGTCACTTCATTGGAGACGAGGACAACACTAGCACCAAAGACGGCAACAATGGTTCAGCGCACTCCACCAGTCCGTGTGATGTATTTAGACCCCGGTGATTGAGGTTGTCGTCAGGGCGTGTCATGTTCATGGTTGCAGGTTTGAGTGTGGGTCAGGGTACCAAGCGGGGACGAGAGTTGTTGGCCGTGGCTGACTCTTCTGTTCCTGTCAAACGAGGCAACGCGGAGCTGCAAGTCCTCATTTTCAATCTGCCGCAGAATCCCCGCAGCAGCCTGATGTTCTCGCGATACAAGGGTTTGGGCCGAGAAGAGCTTCTCGACGAGCTCTTCACGACCCTTTCCGAGGGTCCAGAAATTCCTTCCTCCAAGCTGCAACGTGTGGCTGAACTGACCGGCTCCAGCCGTTGGAGAAGCAAGTCGCTTACGAAGTCCCAGTTCCTGGACATTTTGGGGGACGACGTGCACACCAGCACAGAAGAGCTCCGACGCATGCTATTGACTGTTCGCGCTGACGTGCAGCTTTCTAGCAAGCCATGGAGCCGTCGCAGCTTTGCGCAAGCAAGGCGGAGTTCGGACGTGTCCAACATGGACAGACGGAGCATGATCCAGGCCATCTTCGCCGTGCTTGATCATGCGAAGAGCGGGACTTTGCAGTCGGATGCCATCAGAACATATGCAGAACAGACAGGGTTTGAAGGAACAGATGCAGAGTGGGAGGAGCAGTTCGCCGCAATCTGTCATCATTTTGGGTGGACACACGGTGCAGGGATCAGCCAGAGTCAGTTTAATGAGCTCGTTGAGGACGACGATGACACGGATGATGACGAGTTGCGTCAAGCATTGCTAAACTTGCGGATGCAAGCAACGCCAAGTGGACGCCAATCTCTGCTGAGGTCGTCGTGGCACAGGAAGAGCTTACTACATCTTCAGGGCCTAGACGTGGCACAGACCCTGACCAGGTCTGAATTGATATCAAAAATATTTTCCCTGCTGGACACGGCCGGGCAGACGAAATTGTTTTCTGCGCAATTCAAGAAATTTGCGGACTTAAGTGGCTTTGAAGGCGACGAAGCTGAGTGGTCGAGCCAGTTTGCCGCAATGTGCGAGCACTTCGGATGGAAGGCATCGGATGGAGTTCCCGAAACCCAGTTCGTGGAGTTCGTGGGGGACGAGGTCGAGAACAGTGATGACGAGCTGCGCCGGGTGCTGGTCGGCCTGCAGGCACGTCACGGACAGTCAAGTCGACACTCGGTCATCAAATCGTCTGGGAGCCGTCGCAGTTTGATATGGGCTGACGGGGGGAAGATGGACAGGCCGAGCATGATCTCGGCAATCTTCACGATACTTGATACCAAGAAGCGCGGCACTTTGCATTCGGATGCTATCAGAACATATGCAGAGCAGACCGGGTTTGAAGGAACAGGTGCAGAGTGGGAGGAGCAGTTTGAAGCAATTTGTCAACACTTCGGGTGGACAGAAAGTGACGGTATCACAAGTAGCCAGTTCCGTGACTTTGTTCAGGAAGATGACGAAACTGACGATGACGAGCTGCGGCAAGCCTTGCTAAACTTGCAGATGCAAGCAAGGCCCAGTGGCCGTGCATCCGTGGAGTCTATTGTGGGATCATCGTGGCAGCGCAAGAGTAGTTTGGTGCATGTAGCCAGCGGTTTGGACGTGTCCAACATGGACAGACGGAGCATGATCCAGGCCATCTTCGCCGTGCTTGATCATGCGAAGAGCGGGACTTTGCAGTCGGATGCCATCAGAACATATGCAGAACAGACAGGGTTTGAAGGGACAGATGCAGAGTGGGAGGAGCAGTTCGCCGCAATCTGTCATCATTTTGGGTGGACACAAGGTGCAGGGATCAGCCAGAGTCAGTTTAATGAGCTCATTGAGGACGACGATGAAACGGATGATGACGAGTTGCGTCAAGCATTGCTAAACTTGCGGATGCAAGCAACGCCAAGTGGATGCTCCTCGGTTGGGTCGTCGTGGCACAGGAAGAGCTCACTACATCTTCAGGGCCTAGACGTGGCACAGACCCTGACCAGGTCTGAATTGATATCAAAAATATTTTCCCTGCTGGACACGGCCGGGCAGACGAAATTGTTTTCTGCGCAATTCAAGAAATTTGCGGACTTAAGTGGCTTTGAAGGCGACGAAGCTGAGTGGTCGAGCCAGTTTGCCGCAATGTGCGAGCACTTCGGATGGAAGGCATCGGATGGAGTTCCCGAAACCCAGTTCGTGGAGTTCGTTGGGGACGAGGTCGAGAACAGTGATGACGAGCTGCGCCGGGTGCTGGTCGGCCTGCAATCGCAGCAGTAGCTGCAGGAACCGGGCTGCAGGTCATCTCAGGGACTCAGTGATGCCAAGAATCCCTCGTCTCGCCTCATGGAGCAGTCACCTCAACGGCCGGAGGCCTACAGTGGGCCCGTGAGTCAGCGCGTCCTTTGCGCGACATCTCGACTCGCACCGAGAGCTCTTGGCAGGTGCCTCTTGGAAGCCAGCGAGGCGCCTAGGCGCGGGTTTGTTTTTGCCCTGATTCATGAATTTCTGCCCTTTAAGACGGACTGTGAGCAGATGCCTCTATTCGTAGCCACTGTACTCAAGAGTTTGGGAAAAGCCCTCCCAATCTTTCTTTGTCCCATTGCCCTACTTGCGAGTTGCAAGTTCTACATTTTGCCTTGGCCTGAGCCCGAGAGATGGGTGCCGCTGAGTGCATGCGATGCATCCGAGCTCTTGAAGCAATTGATGGTTTCCCTGCAACAGACTGCAGTGCTGTGTACACAGACAGAGCACCAGTTGCAGTACTTGTGTCGTTGCACTTCCTGCCAAGGTCCATTCCCCAGCTAGGGTCGCCATGTTCCTTAAGATCGCAGCTCTGCCGATGATCTTTCTCGTTGGCGCTATCGCTGATGTAGATGACATGATGGAGGAGCAGGGCTTGTGCTTGCAGTTGCCGGGCATGCATGAGGCACTAGAGGGAGCGAGCCTCCGCGGGTAAAGGCACCGGCCCGAACTCCACGATGTGGAATGTCAGGATGCAGATCTCCTCGCTGCTGTGGAAGCTGAAGACTGCTTCAGTGAGGACCGATCTGCGAGCGTGCCGTGCTGAGCGGCTGTACCGTTTTAGCAGTAGCACGCCTACAAACGGCCTAAGCAAACGCAGACGCTGTCTGACAGCACCCGACGGCACCGGACAGCTCCTTCGTCCCTGCCTTCGCAGGACTGCGAGAGCGCAGGCCTTGCTTTGGCCCAGCTCCGGGCCAGCTACTTGAAGAAAGAGGCAGAGGCCGGTTCGGAGATGGGCTTTGGGCTCTCTCGCCGCCGGCCCTGCCCTGAAGGCTGCAGCCAAGTACCAGTACTACGGCGCGGAGGACTTGGATTTTGACGCTGCCATCCAGGACACTGACTGCCAGTGACATCCAGTGACCCTATAGCCAAGTGCTCCCATTTCCAGCGCAGGAAGACTCGGATGCCGGCATTGCTTTCGTGCAAACGTCGGCCACAATGGTGACCAGCCGAAAGTCGAGTACTCTGGTGGTGAGTGCGGATGGGAGTGTGCTGTCCGGCACGGAGCCCTCTGGCCAAACGGTCTCCAGTGGCACATCCTTCGCGGTGTCTGCAGATGGTCGCATGCATGTGGAGATGTGAGGCTCTCGAAGCGATAAGTCGATAAGCGAGACCCGGACTTCTAGACCGATTCTGATTCTAGACTCGTTCTGGTGGCCTCTGTTTAAAACGGCGGCCCCAGCATTGGCCTATCAGCACTGCCCTTGAGAGTCTTTTGGATCTCCTTTGGGATCCTTGAGAAACCTGATGGACAGCACATGTTGCGCAGGCAAAAGCAGCCGCAGGACAGGTTGTGAGACCAGCTGCAGTGTACTATACTGTGTACTATGCTGGAACCTTGAGCAGGCAGCCTTGACACCTTGCATGTGTACGCTGGCAGTCAGAGCTTTAGAGCTTCATGCCGGTACAGAGCCGTAAGGGAGTGAAGCTCTGAAGGTGAAAATTCCCTCATGGACTTGGTGAACCTGTATTGAGTCTCATCTCCTGTTTGGTGTTGACCAGGCTGCGGAGGCGCTTTGCAGGCCTGGCAACCTGCCGCAGTCCCTGCCGCAGGCCCCGGCACGGGTTCATCAAAGTTGTAAGCACCTCTCGTCAAGCTACGAAAGATCAGGTTACGGCGCTGGCAAGAGCGGCTGCTCCTTTGTCGTCCCTGTGGGCGATTTTCAGGAGGAGCTTTGCATGCGGACTGGATGTTGTCTGGACAACCCAAGAGCCGTGCAGCAAGGACGTGCCTCTGGAGGAAGCCCTTCGGCGTGTGTGCTTGATGGGAGCAGAAGGCCGGGACCGGCCCACGGTGTGCAGCCGGTGTGCCTGTGGATGCAGTGTTTCTACGCTGTGACAGAGTCTATGGTGGGAGTGCGCGGGCATGCAGGGCACGCACCTGCTGCTGACAGAAGACTTCCAACGACATAGAGGCATCAAGCGGAAGACTGAAGCCAGCAAGCCCGTGGCCGCGCTTGGAGGGCACACCACAGGAGCTCTTCCCTGGTAGAATAATGAAAAAGACCCGGTGTTGAAGCTTCAGTTTCAGATCTTACGCTCGGCGTAAGGTCTTGAAGTTTCAGTCTGCAGGTTTCGGTAGAGGGTTTCGTGCCCTTTGGCGTTTAGTGTCTAGGGTTTGAGCCTGTGGGCTACCACTAGCTGGGCGGCTTCTGGCGAATCTGAGCTTGTGGAGACATCACGCGAACGCAGGAAACCTGTGCAGGGCCAGCGTACCCGGGTTTAACCAACAGTAGGATCTGTTTGCTCACCGTCGCATGCACCGCGGGCTTACTGGAGAAATGTAAACCTGCAATCGAGCAGAAGTTAGCTAAGGAATGAGGCCATGGGCTGATCTCCCAGTGATTTCCTTCGTGTTCTGGCCCTTGTCTTGGTATTTTCCGAAATTCTTGAAAATCTTTCCCCAGTTGGTTTCAAAGTCATCTGTGATGTAAAACCTCTCCTGGAGGGCCTTGGCTTTGGACTTGTTAGTTTGTTGCGCTGTCGTTCATCTGGCGCAGCCAAAGTTTGAACGCTTCGTTGGGCTTTGGCTTGTTGGCTTTGAGTTTGAGGTTTAGGGTTTAGTTTTTTGAGATGTTTTGGCCCACCCCGAGGTTCCGGAGAAATTGATATTCGTTGGTGGGGGCTCCAAAATGGTCTGGCCTGGAAAACATGTAGACCCGATTGTAAGTGTTCCCGATTTTCTTGGAGGCCGATTTGTATTGCTGAGAGACTCGGAAAGACGGAAAACGAACTTTAAACTTAGTTTGTACTTGACAGTTGAAATCGAAATCCAGTGTTCTCCAACAACGGCACGGATTGGGAAAAGTGAGGGAAGGGCCAAGCAAGGCTTTGTATTGGCACCTGGAGATGTAGAGCTCGATCCGTCGACGATCCCTGTTGTTGAACTTTTTCCTTTAAACCTTCGGGTATTTTCGTCTCTCACTTGTTGGGCACTGTTAAGTGCAGGTCCCGAGCTCTTTTCACAGGCTTCGTGCCAAACCTGTCGAAAGCCTCCTCCGAAACTGCAAAAGCATCAGACAAATGGGCGCTTTGCACCTTCGATGCCCAAGCCTGTTGCACACAGCATCCGAGCATCTGCAACGCAAGCGAAAGCCGCCTAACGTGTGCAGAGCCAGTCCTTCAAGACAGTCTCTTTCAACGCAGGAGCCTCCGTGTGCCGTAAGTCCCATCAGTGGCAGCAGCGACAGCAGCGGCACCCGCCTGCTTCCCGTAAAGGGCGAAGAGGCAGGCTTTGAGGGCTCGGCAATCGGCTTCCTTCACCCCACCATCGGTTCGGAGTGCAGTTGGGCAGCGGCGGCCTTGAATTGTGTGAGTCTTCAGGTGGCGGAGAGCTGGCATGCCGACGACGCAGCGCAACAGCATGGTGATGTCCCGACAGCTTGGGGCCCAGACGGAGGGGAGAATCATGCAGTCTGGACCAGGATTTGCAACTTGATGTGCAGCATGGTGCAGCACTCCTGGAAGCCTCAGTTCGTCTCTCCTGCCTCTGTAGCCAGTAGAGGCCTTGCCACGCGCTGAAGCGGACGACGGCAACCCTTGCAGCCAGTCGGAGCGACCCGGCCTTGACATGCTTCCGCCATGTTAACTACGAGGTCTTTCCTGACCTGGGCCTCCTTAGCGCCAGATCTGGTGCCAATGGACCCGTCACATCGTGGTGGCAGTTACATCTTCATCCATAATTGGTGTGATGGCAGTCAATGGCAGTAAACCCATGTGTCGACGTCATGGAGTCATTGTCGCGGTCCTCAGGCCGCCGGCCTTGCCAAGATTCGAGAAAGGAGCCTAGAAGTGTTTTCGGCGCTCGCCATGCCACATGGCTCAGACTGGCGCATGACATCATCTCGGCAAGAAGCGACGAATACTCGCCGTGGCAGGTGCAGCCGCTGATTTTCGAGCCTAGGCTTGTTCTACCTTTGCCCCAAGGTAGTAACACCACAAGATGCGGGCTTTAGTCGAATGCAAGAAGTCAGCAAGTTAAATCAGCTGCCATCCGGCAGGTCCTCGCTTGTGGGACGATCCGTGATGTTGGTGGCCGTTTGTGGATCTGGCATCACGGCAGAGTGATTTAGACTGAGCAGAGCCCTCCGCCATGGCTTTCGCGAGAGCGGCACGCTTTCCGGTCCGGGTCCCCGGCCGGGACTTTTCTACACCCGGGCCGGGGACGTACAGCCCGAGGGCCAGCTGCGGGCTTCCTCGGGTCTTGGTCTACACATTCGGCCAGCCATCTCCCCCAAAACCACGACCACTTCCCAAAGCCAAGGCGGTGGCGATAGTCAACGATGCACAACCGCAACGGACAACACAACTGGCGACACCACGACTTCAGCAGGACGAG